TGGGGATTCGAACCTGCCACCTTAGGTGTATGTGGCTGGCGCCTTAGCCGCTTGAGCCACAGGCGCCGAGCCTTAACTTTATATTTTGAAGCAACTTTTTTTGGGGTGGGGGGAAAGTAGCTGGGACTACAGGGGCTGCCACACGCCTGGTTGTTTTTTAGAGATGGGGTCACACTCTTGTGAGAACCAGACCAACGCCATCTTGGGGTTCCGCCATTTTGTTGTTTACTGCTTAAGCTATGTTCCTCGCCCCTCCACCCCTCCTCCCTTGTTGGCAGCCCACAAAACTACATCCTGCTGCCTCCTCCGCCCCTGGTGCAGGTAGCTTGGCTTGCAACTGTTGTTCAAGCCACCTGAAAGCTGCCAAAGGCCTCAGTTACCCCTAGGCCAATCAAGCCACACCAAGTAGACCCCCCAGATACCCTACCAATCAGAGAGTGACAATACCCTACCCCCCCTTCTTGCCTTCTGTACCCCATAAAATCCCACGCCATCTTAGGGTCGGGGCCGCTCTATCTCCTGCTGCGTCAGGTGTGGACGGCCTAGACCCAAGTCTACAATTGAAGTGCCTCTTGCTGGTTGCATCGGAATCGGTCTCCAAGTGTTCTGTGGGGAAAATCCCCAATTCTGGGCATAACAGTCTCAAACCTGTGAACTCAGGCAGTCTACCTGCCTTGGCCTCCCAGAGTGCTAGGATTATAGGCGTGAGCCACTGTGCCCAGCCTGAAGCTATTTTGATTTATAGAAGAATTATAAAAGTAGTACATATATCCTTCACTCAGCTTCCCTTAATAGTAATATTTTAAATAAGCATAGTACAATTATCAAAAGCATGAAATTAATATTGGTATAATATTTCTAACTAAACTACAGACTTTATTCAGATTTTATCAATTGTTCTGCTAATAAACATCCTATTTCTTGATCAGGCCATGTTTACTTGTTGTGCTATCCTAGTCCTCTTTAGTCTGTGATAGTTTCTTAATTTTTTCTTGTCATTCTTGATTTCTGACATTTTTGAAGAGTATTGGTAAGATGTTTTATACACTGTTTCTCAGTTCGGGTATTTTTTTTGCAGTTTTTGGCTGGGGCCAGGTTTGAACCGGCCACCTCCGGTATATGGGGCCAGTGCCCTACTCCTTTGAGCCACAGGCGCTGCCCTATATTTGATATTTTGTCAGGATTGGATTGAGATAGTGCGTATATCATGCTATGTGCCCTGCTCAGTGTACCTGAATCAGGCAGGCTATGTATTAATAATATCTATATTGTCTTATTTTTGGTAATAACTTTTTTGAGACAGAATCTCACTTTGTCTCTCTTGCTAAGTGTGCCGTGGCATCACAGCTCAAAGCAACTCCAACTCTTAGGCTTAAGCGATTCTCTTGCCTCAGCCTCCCAAGTAGGTGGGACTACAGGCACCCACCACAATGCCTGGCAATTTTTTTGTTGTAGTTGTCATTGTTATTTAGTAGGCTTGGGCTGGGTTCCAACCGGCCACTAAACGACAGGTGCCGAGCCACCTAGTTCACTTTGAACACTCTTTTCTTTCTGGCACCACAAGTTGTTCCAGGCTTATGTTGTATTTTCTGTGTTCTAACTTGGGAATTGATCACTTCTCCAAGGAGCCTGGTTCCAACTTTTGACAAAAAGGTGTTTGATTTGATTCTGGCATATTATGTATTCCAGGTGTGGATATTGTCTCTTTTACTGTCCTCTAACTACTTCTATCCCTGGTTCTCAAACTTTGAGAACTGCATATTAGAATAACTGGGGAGGTTAAAAAAATTCAAATATTGGCTTGGCACGCATGCTCAGTGGTTCGGGTGCCGGCCATATACACCAAGGCTGGTTGCACCCAGCCTGGGCCTGTTAAACGATGACAACTGCACAAAAAAATAGCCAAGTGTTGTGGCTGGCACCTGTAGTCCCAGCTACTTGGGAGGCTCAGGCAAGAGAATTGCTTAAGCCCAAGAGTTTGAGGTTGCTTGAGCTGTGATGCCATAGTACTTTACCAAGGGCAGCATAGTGAGACTCTTGTCTCTAAGAAAAAAAAATTCAAATATTTAGGTTTCATTCCATGTGAATTAAATTAGAATCTCTGAGGATGAAATCCAAACATTTGGTTTTTAGAGCTTCTGAAATGTTTTGAGTGTGCGGCAAATTTATAAACCACTGTTGTGTATTTGACTCTTCCCCTTTGCCTAGGAAGGTCTAGACTAGAAGCTTGCATATATTCAGGTGGGTTTTTTTTTCTTCCATGTTATATCTTGCAAAGAGTGATCACTGTGTTCAGCTCTGTTCTTGGCTTCAGAAGTACTCATCCTAGGTATGACCACATTAAGTCATACTATTTGTCCCTCACATTGACTTCCCTAGCCTGTTCCCAGAAATCAAACTGTGATTCCTTTCTTGTTACTCTGTGGTAATATTGATGAATGTACCTTTGTTATTTTTTGTATTGGTGGCTGCAAAATTACCAACACCTCTCTCCAGACACCTTTCTTAGTATCTCTATTTTGATGACCTTCAAGCACATCAGACAGGACATCTAAAATTGAACTTGTCTTCTTTTATAAACCCACTTGTATTTTGTTCCTTCACTACATATTTATTGACTGTCTACTATGGTTCAGGCAATATTCCAGGTACCAAGTATACAGAATTCAAAGGTAAACTGGCCTTAGAGGATCCTTTTGCTTGGTATATTTCCTTCTATAGTCCTAGTTTCATTAATGGCATTGGGATCTGTTTGGACAGAGTCCTCTTTCTCTTAGCCCACTCTTATTTACCACATCCTGTCAAGTTGCTGTACTTCATTGATTTTTCTGTTTCATTCTTAGTATTTAAAATGATAATACAACTATACCTTTGAGGAAGCTAGTATGGACTTTATGATAATACCAACTGAAAAGTGGATTCAGAATTTAGGTCTGTGTGTCCTGGGCAAGTGACTAAAGCTCACTAAATCTTATTTACCTGGTATATATAAAATTGGAATAACAGTTAACACCTCACTGGATGGCTGGGAAGATTGCTTCTTTCTTCTTAACCTGATGAGTGAAGTCACCATCTATCCAATTGGATCATTCTAAAACCATTCTGGGGCACAGTCCCAGAAACTGTCTTTCCCTTAGCCCTTAGTCTACCTTCACATTATCTCAGCAGTGACTGAGTCCTGTCAGTTCTTATGCTTAAATATCGCTGACTTATTTATGTTTGAATAGCTGTCAAGCTCCCATCTTTTGCCTCTAAATTTGTTTTTGTCTTTTGAGACAGTGTGTTAGTATGTCACCTTCAGTAGAGTGCCTTGGTATCACAGCTCACATCAACCTCAAACTCTTGGGCTTAAGCGATTCTCTTTTGCCTCAGCCTCCCAAGTAGCTGAGTCTACAGGCACCCACCACAATGCCCAGCTATTTTTTGTTGCAGTTGTCATTGTTGTTTAGCAGGTCCAGGTGTATGTGACCAGCACCCTACTCACTGAGGTACGGGCGCCGACCCTTTATTTGTCATGATCTCGACTCTTCTTTTCCCAGCTGACCCTGGTCTTTGTAAAGCACATTCAGTGTTTTTTTCTTTTCTGCTTATACATCCTGTAGTGGTACCTCATGAAGTCCATACTTCATTGCCTGGCAGTTTCTTCATTTTGCCCTGCCCATCTCTTTAAATCATTTTATCTCCTCTCACTCTTCTGGCAGCCTATTTTTGGGTTAGGCTTTCCTGTTTTATTTTCTAAGTTAACCATGCTTCTTTACATCTCTGTGCCTTTGCATATCCTTTCTCCCTTTTCTGCCTGGCAAACCTCTTGAACCTCTCAAAGTTTAAGTCTTACCTCCCGTATAATGCTTTCCCAGATTTCCTGAAACACAGTCTTTGTCCCTCACTGTCACCTGTAATTGCTATTGAAGTATCATTGCATCTATTTCCCTACTTGCATTTACAGACTTCTGGATGAAATCTACATCTTTTCAAACCCTATCACATGCCTAGCATATAGTAAATTGTTTACTTTATAAACATGTGAAAGTTCTTAGAATAGTAACTGGCAGAAAATGAGTGTCAGAAGATGCTTGGTCATTCATTACTCATAATGTTTGTGAAGACATTTAGCACATTGTGTTTCACAGTTTATGTTAATTTTCCTTACCAGAATAAAGAATACCTTCATAGCAGGCTGTTCAAAACCCTTTATAACTTGTTCACATCTATCAATTTTTTTTTTTTTTCCTGGAGACAAGGTCATGCTCTGTTGCCTTGGCTGGAGTGCAGTGGTGTCATCGTAGCTCCTTGCAACCTCAAACTCCTGGGCTCAAACAATCCTCCTCTTTCAGCCTTCTCAGTAGTAGACATGGGATTTTCACTATGTTTCTTAGGCTGGTCTCAGACTCCTGGCCTCAAACAGAGCTCCTGCCTCAGGTTCCCCAAATGCTAGATTATAGGTGCAATCTACCTCCCTCCCCTGCCCCATCCATTTTTCTAATTTCATCTCTTATCTTGTCTCTTTTTTTTTTTTTTGAGACAGAGTTTTACTTTGTTGCCCTTGGTAGAGTGCTGTGGTGTCATAGCTAATAGCAACCTCAAACTCTTGGGTTCAAGGGATCCCCTTGCCTTAGCCTCCTGAGTAGCTGGGAATACAGGCATTTAGAGATCTGGTCTCACTCTTGCTCAGGCTGGTCTCTAACTCCTGAGCTAAGGGATCCTACCATTGTGCTAGGACTATAAGCAACAGCCATGGAACCTGGCTGAATTTCCTCCTTTTCTAAAGCATTTATTTTTCTTGATGTAGTATATAGTATTGCATTTTATTTTGGTTGTATGTGTTTGTTACTTATTAACATATGAGTCTTTGGAAGCAAATTCAGTAGAACCTCCACAATTAACCACCTCCTTTAAGTTGACCTAATTTTTATAGACCAGATATACACCACATGTATACATCAGTATAGTATGCCTTGTTCCTTATGTTGACCACCTCTGTATGTTGACCAGTTTGTTATAGTCCTTTGGGTGGGCAATTTACTTAAGGTCTTACTGTATTGTGGGTTTTTTTTTTTTTTTTGGAGACAGAGTCTTAAGCTGTTGCCCTGGGTAGAGTGCTGTGGTGTCATAGCTCACAGCAACCTCAAATTCTTCAACTTAAGTGATTCTCTTGCCTCAGCTTCCCAAGTAGCGGGACTACAGGTGCCTGCCACAATGCCCAGCTATTTTTTGGTTGTAGTTGTTGTTGTTGTTTGGCAGGTCCAGGCTGGATTCGAACCCGCCAGCTCCGGTATATGTGGCTGGCACCTTAGCACTGAGCTACAGGCGCTGAGCCTGTATTGTGTTTTATTTATTTTTGAAGCTTCATTGCCCAGATTGTTAGAAATATTTCTTGATTTGAATGAGTAGAATGGTATGGGTCTCTCAGAAGAGGTCAGTATTGTCTAGGATATTGGAATGGTTTGAATAGACATTTGAGATGTATGGAGGCTACTGGTGGTAAGGGATAGTAGAAGCAGAGGAAAACAATAATAGCAGTCATTTGCTCACACTTGTGGAAGACATATGCATGCACATTTCACATATTGTTTACATTTATTTATTTATTTATTTTTTTGACAAGAAGTAGGATTTATTGTTGGTAGGCGCAAATGATAGGCAACATGGTATAAGTCCTCCTGAGCTCAGGGCCTGCCACTTGTCCAGGGGTCCATAATTGGGGATGTATTTGACTCTGTACCCATCTGGGATGAGCCACTTCTCAGCTATCATGTCTTCAGTTTCAGCTGCATTAAACTTGGTAAAACCCTACTTCTTGGAGATGTGAATCTTCTGGCGGCCAGGGAACTTGAAGTTGGCCCTGCCTAGGTCTTCAGTTACATGTTCCTTGTTCTGTAGTTTGGTGCAGATGGACATGATAACTTGGCCAATGTGAACCCTAGCCACAGTGCCCTGGGGCTTTCCAAAGGCACCGTGCATACATATCTGGATGCTAGATTGGGGACAGCACCCGATCTAACACATGAACATGTATTAGAAAGGCATGTCTCCAAGGTCCCTTAGAGCAATGTATACAAGCAACAGGCCGCATATACTACCAAGAAGGTTGCTGTTTGCAGCCATTGCACACCAGGCTCCCATGAGGAAGTTATTAACATTTATTTAATGATAACTCGATGAAGTAGGTGTGATAATTTTCCATCTTTTATTTATTTTTTGAGGCAGAGTCTCTTAATTACCCTAGGCTAGAGAGCCCTGGCATCAGCCTAGCTCACAGCATCCTCAAACTCATGGATTCAGGTGATCCTGCTGCCTCAGCTCCCTGAGTAGCTGGGACTACAGGTGCCCACCACAATGCCTGGCTCATTTTTCTGCTTTTAGTAGGGGTGGGATCTCATTCTTGCTTAAGCTAGTCTTGAACTCATGAGCTAAAGCCATCTTCCCACCTCAGCTTCCCAGATGCAAGATTATAGGCACGAGCTACCATACCCAGCCATAATTTTCCATCTTTAACAAATGTGGAAGCTCCACGCCTGTGGCTCAAGTAGCTAAGGTGCCAGCCACATACACCTAAGGTGGCGGGTTTGAATCCAGCCCGGGCCCGCCAAAACAACAATGACCACTGCAACCAAAATATAGCTGGGCGTTGTGGCTGCGCCTCTGGTCCCAGCTACTTGGGAAGCTGAGGCAGCAGACTTGCTTGAGTCCAGGAGTTCCAGGTTGCTGTGAGCTGTGATTTCACGGCACTCTACCCAGGGGGACAGCTTGAGGCTCTGTCTCAAAAAAAAAAAAAATGTGGAAATAGGCACAGAAAGATTAAGTAATTTGCCCAAGTTTGTGCAGCTTGGTACTGTAAAGTTTGGGCTGGTCACTACTATGCCTTAGTGCAGGAGTCCTCAAACTTTTCAACAGTTGGCCAGTTCACTGTCCGTCAGACCATTGGAGGGCCAGACTGTGGGCCTTGGGACGAATTGGCTGCTAAGCAGGACAGGCAGCAGCGGCAAAAACACCTGGTGGGCCAGATAAATGTCCTTGGTGGGCCACATGTGGCCCACAGGCTGTGGTTTAAGGATGCCTGCATTAGTGCCTTTCGGTGAACATAGAGAATTGGGAATGGTGAGAGGACTGATCCAGTTAGAGCGAAGTGAAGGCTAAATGTACTTCAAGTTTTTCTGATGATCTCTCTGACAAATTCTAAGGTTTATGACAATGGCTAAGGATAATACTTAAACTTTAGTGTGCATACATGTCACCTGGGAGTCTTGTTAAAATACAGATTCTCATTGTGAGGTGTGGGATGGGATCTGAGATTGTGCATTTCTAACAAGCTCCTAAGGAGTAACAGTGTTGCTTTGTTGTAGACTCCATTTTGAGGTACAAGAGTTCAGAGGATTCCAAATGATATTTCATATGGTACTGTTAGGTTCCCATCTAGAAATTGTAAGAGATTCTCTGTCTTTAATTGGATACAAAACTATGAAGTTCCATGATAAGATGCTGAGACTTTAGGTACTAGTTCATTAGCTTGATTCTATATTAGAATGACCTGAATAGCTATGGAACCCTAATAATGCTCAAGCTGTACTGGAGACCAGTAAGAATATCTGGTGAATGGGTCTTTATATTAAAAATTTTTTTTCAAGTGTTTAGGATGCTTAGGCAAAGTTAAACTCTTTCAGAGCTTAGGGTATTTCCTTTCATGTTAACCTAATTTGTTGTCTGTTGAGATGAATTTTGCATCAGAATCCAATGCATTGAAAATAAGATTGCCATAAAGAAATGATAGAAAATTAAGTAAATGGGGGTTACCATCATCACAGTATTTTGATTAATGCTGGTGTTATTGGTAGTATAGTTCATCTTTTAAGGAATAAGAAGAAAATTATAATAATGCCTTTTTTTTTTTTTAAGAGTGTTTCTGTGAGTTCTGCTTGTACTTTTCTAACCTTTTTCCTTTCTCTTTCCAACAGGGATTTTTTGCCAGGTGGTAGGAGAGATTATACAGTACAAGTTCAGTTGAGGTGAGTTTGAAATTTCTGTTACCTTAATTTTATACTTCCTAATTATGTGCATATAGTTCTGAATTTTAAAACACATGAGCATATTTTAATAAACTATTTAATGGGAGGCTGAGGCAAGAGAATTGCTTAACCCCAAGAGTTGGAGGTTGCTGTGAGCTATGATCCCCTAGCACTCTTCCGAGGGCGACATGGTGAGACTCTCTCCAAAAAAAAAAAAATTTAAAAATATTTTTTTCTTTTATTATTGCAGACTTTGCCTGGCAGAGACAAGTTGCCCTCAAGAAGACAACTATCCAAATAGTCTATGTATAAAAGTAAATGGGAAGCTGTTTCCTTTGCCTGTAAGTTGTTGTTTATTCACCAGATGTGCATATAAGTTTAATATAAACACTGACAAGTACTAGAAGCAGTGATAACTCAGCATCAGTAAATAGTCCAAGTATCTAGATTAAATAATGTTTTCCACTACAGTTATCCATTGCTCCTTAGAAAAGTAATGGCTGATTCCCAGGTCTGGGGAGATGGGAAAAGATGAGCCTCTAACTTTTTTTAAATTTAGTTTTTAATTAAATCAAAAATGTATACATTTGTGGGGTACAATATGATGATTTGATGTACAATGTGGAGTGCTTAAACTGACTAACATAACCATCACCTCACTTAACATTTTTTAAAGTATACATATATAAAAAGAGATGGAGTCTCACTATGTTGCCTGGGTGAACTCAAAAACTCAAACTCCTGGGCTCAAGCTATCCTCCTGCCTTAGCCTCCTGAGTACCTGAGACTAGACGTGCACAACACCATGTATAAGTAGAGCCTGGAACATCTTATTCCAGAAATTAAGGAAGATGTTGGAATCATATCAAATCACTAGTAGCAGGGCAAGACTTGTGCACTTTCATATAGGACAGTGTGTTATGGTGGGTGTTTGGATTAGCTGGGTCTGGGCAGTGGATGATGTGAGAAGCAGAGGATTCTGTGAGCTTCTGGCCACAGAAAACAAGAATTTCAAGCTTGGGGTTTGATTATGAAAACACTTGGGGCTTAGGAGTATGCAGTGATATTTGACAACTATCTAGTGAAGTACCTTATAGGCTTCATTACCTGGGATATGTACAGTATGGATGTGTACTGGTCTGATAACTTCTTGACTCTTTAAATGCTACTAGTTAATTCTTAAAATAACACATTGTTGACCTGGATTATGTATTGGTTTCTACGAAGCCTGGGATATGTTTCTAAATTGGTGCAGTTCTGTAGAAGGCCAGCAAAGCCACATGGCCTGTTTGTCAAAGCATTGCAAAGTAGAAGGTATATTTGATGTAACTGAAGTGCTATGAGAACAGTGATTCCATCAGTGTGTCAGAGTGCCATTTCTACAGAACAGACACTTGAGATGGGAAAGCTGTTTAACATTCCTGCTGAGCATGAGATTTGGGTCTGAAATACGTATATGAGCAATACTGATGAGCAGCTAAACAAGTCAGACTACAGAATCAGGACTCTAGTCTCTACCAGAACCATCAGCTTATAAGTGAGCCCCAAGAAAATACAGTCCATGTCCCAGCATAACACTTGTAATCAAAGGGATCTGGCTTCTCTTAGTTGTCAGGAGTTTAATTTGTCTCATGCACAGCCTGTGGACTCAGAGCCTTGAGAAAGGCCTTGTTTCACACATTTTACCTGGCTTGAACAACACTGCATCACTGAATGACTCTTTTTGAAAGATGCATGTGAGACTAAAATCCATTAAAACAGTCCTGGGGATGAAAGAGAAGTCACAGAGGCTGAGTACTATTGTCAGGAAGGGTTGTTTACATGGCCCTATCCATGTTCAAAACTTAGGTGGGACATTTGCCTGTCTGGTTTCTGGCTACCAGCAATAAGGTTCTCTTTTCTAGATCTGAACTGAGGGGAGAAGCAGCCCTACTTTGGAGCTGAAGTAGGTGGCCAAATGTGTGGCAAGGAGAGCCTGATAAAATCAGATTATAAAACAACTGTGGACACACTTTGCATGGCCTTTTTGTATCTATTTTTCTTTGGCCAGGATGTGCTAAGATTTCTTTGACCTTTGACTCTCATTTACCTGTCCCACTATCCTTGAAGAAAGACATAACTATAGAAGCCTTCTTGAGTTCTGCAGACTCCCCTTGAGGACTTATTATCATGTGACTGTGCTTATGATGGGGACTGTGTCTAAAATGTGTGATGTTCTACCTAAACTCTTTGTCTGGTATTACTACGAAAATATAGTGGCTACAGATAATATAGTGGCTACTTACAAGTTCCACAAAACTTCCAGATGGACTCTGTGTCATGTTTTGGGACAGTATCTTCATGTATGAGATCTACACCACCACTAATGGATAAGTCTGAATTTGTCATTTCCCATTTTTTGAGGGAGAAGAAATTAGGCAGTTGAGTATTTTCTGGAACATTGTTACTTGGTTACTGCCGTTTTCCATCTTAAAGCATCAGCTAACCCTTTAATACTTACACTAGGCTGTTTGTGAACATATCAGCTACTACATAAAGCATGCTTTGTCTTGAGTCTGGCATTCGGGCCTGCAGCAGCTCTAGGGGCAGTGGTGAAGGAGAAGAAACAGAGCATTGACAGAAAGGCAAAGACATATTTCAAAAACAGAAGGCACGGGGAGGACTTGCCTAATCCTATTAGGACAATCCCAAAGAAAATTGAATTCCAGTCTTTCCCAAAGAAGATTTTTACCTCAGCCCTATGAATTCCTATAGAACAACTAATGTAAATTCCTATGTAACTGATGGGAAAACTCCTTAAACTACCTGATGCACAATTGCTATTGACTCAGATAGTGAAATATGGAGTCTTTACAAGTAAGAGTGTGCTATAGCCTCAGAAAAAGAAAGCTACCATGGCTCTCAAGAAGTTACATTGAGCTGTTGATCACCATGGAGAGTGTCAGGCACTTTGTTCCTGTTGTAAGAAGCATCAATAGGCCACAGAGATCTTCACCATAATGGTCTTTGTCCATGATCCTGGTTTATTAAACAACAGATCCTCAAAGGAGGGATAAATTTGATGTGGAATTTCCCATTAGAGCACTGAATATATTTGAATTTGTCTGTCCCAGAGCAAGTCCTTTTGTGTATAATGTATTGCTGTATCAAGTCATTGTGGACCCATGGCAGTTGGACACTGTACTGCAGGGGTCCTCAGACTTTTTAAACAGGGGGGGCCAGTTCACTGTTCCTCAGACGGTTGGAGGGCTGGACCGTGGGCCCCAGGACTAGTTGGCTGCTAAGCAGGACAGGCAGCGGTGGCAAAAACACCCGGCAGGCCGGATAAATGTCCTACGCAGGCTGCATGTGGCCTGTGGGCCATAGTTTGAGGACGCCTGAGTATGCCTGCATACGGCTTGTACAAAGTAAACTGAATGGGAAATACCGTTACCTTGACAATAGCAGTGTGTCTCTGGACTCTTAAGGATCAAATATTGATGAAAGCAACTTATGTACTTTTATAAAAACTGTACCAAGGTAAACACCTTCATGCATTGATTTTTATAGGCTCCCTTGATGGAGAGAAGACTTTAAGTAGTTTATAGGACTTACAGGAGGATGACGTGCAGCATGGACTGACATGCTGCTGCTCCAGAGGCCATTCCCCTGCCTCAGTCTTTGACTTCAAGTGTTCACATTAT